ATGTAGCAAATCATCAAGGTTATACACCTCCACCAAGTAGCATTTATAACCGAGATGCAGGTATGGTGCAGCATATGCAAATCAGTAAATGTAATACACCATATTAACAGAGCCAAGGACATAAACCATAGCATGATCTCAATAGATCAGAATAAGCATTTGACAAAGCCTAACACCCATTCATGATAACAACTCTACAGAAAGTTGGAATAGATGGCCTCTATCTCAAGCTGATGAAAGCCATCTATGACCAACCAACACCAACATCATACTAAATGGTCAAAAACTGAAAGTTTTTGCTCTAAAATCAAGAACAAGACGAAGATATCCACTGTCACCACTGCTATTCAGTATAATTCTGGAAACATTAGCCAGAGCAATTAGACAAGAGAGAGAAATCAAAGGAATGAGGAGAGGAAAGGAAGAAGTTCAATCATCAGGATTTTCAGATGACATCACACTCTCCATACCAGACCTCCAGAACTCCACCAAAAGACTTCTATATTTAATAACCAAGTTCAGTAGAGTAGCTGCATGCAAAGCCAACACTCAAAAATCAATAACCTTCCTGTATGCAAATAACAAACTCACCAAGACAGAAATTAGGGAAACACTTTTCACAACTGCATCAGACAAATGAAATACCTAGGAATCAATCTAATGAAGAAACTAAAACACCTCCACATGAAAAGTATGGTACTCTGAAAAGAAGATTGAGGAAGATATCAGAAAATGAAAAGATGTCTCTTGTTCTTGGATAGGAAGAACTGATATAGTGAAAATGGCCATACTTCCAAAGCTCTTATAAATATTTAATGTTGTCCTGATCAAAATACTATTAGCATACCTCACAGAAATAGAGAAAACAGCCAGGCATGGTGTGCATGCCTGTAATCCCAGCACTCAGGAGGCTGAAGCAGAAGGATCATTATGAGTTTGAGGCGAACCTGGGCTACAAAGTGAGCTCAAGGTGAGCCTGCACTGCATAACAAGACCCTGACTAAGAAAGATTTTTTTTTAAAAAAAGAAAAAAAAAAGAGAAAACAACCTAAACTGCATATAGAACCAAAAGAGACTTACAATAGTGAAAGCAATTCTGGACAACAAAGGCAAGGTAGGGGACATCACAATCCTCAACTTGAAATTATACTACAAAGCTACTGTAACAAAACAGCATGGGAAAAAGAAGACCCGAGAGTCACTAGTACAGATTAGAAGATGTGAAACAACTCCAAACACACTCGTGTATTGTATCTTTGATGAAGGGCCCAAATACCTGCTCTGGAAGAAAAATATCCCCTTTAATAAATGGTTTTGGGAAAACTGGCTTTGCCCATGCTGAAGTTTGAACCTAAACCCATATCTCACACCATTCACTCAATAAAATAAAAATGCATCAAGGATCTAAATAGTAAAACAGAAACACTTAATATACTGGAAGATGGAATAGCTAAAACTCTTCAAAAATGTAAGTGTGGACAGGGGCTTTATGAATCAAACTCTGAATGCACAGGAAATATTGTAAAGAATCAGCAACTAGGATCTCATCATATTAAAAAGCTTCTGCACAGCAAATGGAACCACCAACAGAGTAAGGAGGCAACCTACAGCATGGGAAAATTGTTCACCAGCTATTCCTGACAAATGACTAATATCTGGAACATATTAAAAAAAACTCAAAACATCCAGACTCTCCAAATTTATACACCCAATCCAAAAACAGGCATCAGAAATGAACACACACTTCTTAGATGAAGAAGTAAAAGCAGCAAATAAATATATGAAAAAAAGTTCAACATCATTGGTCGTTTCAGAGATGCAAATTAAAACAATGCTCAGAATCCATTTCACCCTAGAAAGAATGGCTGTCATCAAGAAATCAACCAATAACAAATGCTGGGGAGGCTGTGGGGAGAAAGGAACCCTCGTCCACTGCTGATGTGAGTGGAGACTGGTGCAACCACTGTGGAACTCAATGTGGAGATTCTAGGACTAGAGGTTTCATTTGACCCAGCTATTGCCCTTCCTGGTATCTTGTCCAAGGAATTAAAAGTATCAAGGCCTCGTCGTTCCCCGGAAGGAGGGCTTCCGGTGCACAGGGAGCCATGGGTGGGGAGCGCCAGTCTTCCGGCTGGCTAGCTTCCTTCCTGCTGGCTCCCGGAGGGTGGGCCCCCAGCGCACGGTGAGCCTTGGGCAGGGAGCGCCGGTCTTCGGACCAGCGGCTCACTCCTGGCCTCGTCGTTCTCTGGAAGGAGGGCTTCCGGCGCACAGGGAGCCTCGGGTGGGGAGAGCCAGTCTTCCGGCTGGCTAGCTTCCTGCCTGGTGGCTCCTGGAGGGTGGGCCCCCAGCGCACGGGGAGCCTCAGGTGGAGAGCGTCAGTTTTTTGGGTCTTTGGACCAGCGGCTCACTCCCGGCCTCGTTGTTCCCTGGAAGGAGGGCTTCCGGCGCACAGGGAGCCTCAGGTGGGGAGCGCCAGTCTTCTGGCTGGCTAGCTTCCTGCCTGCTGGCTCCCGGAGGGTGGGCCCCCAGCACATGAGGAGCAATGCAGCGGCAAGCGCTATTGCGCGCCGGCCCTTAGGCCGGCTGCCACCGCTCAATTGAGAGCTATCATGACACAGAGAAACAGTGACACAATTGGCCCACCATGCACCAACTGCAGTTGCCCACCCACGGATGTGTGTGAATCATTGAAACTTTGAACAACCCCTGGGAATGCGTGCCATACAACGGGCCACTCTTGCTCCTGCCACTGGGAACCAGAAAGGTCCAGAGCTAGTGGAGGAGCAGCTGCTGAACAAGGACTCAGAGAACATGAGAATGCAGACTAAGCCCATGGAGTCAGACATCCAGTGGACTGGGGTCATGAGAGCCGCTCAGAAACTGTAAACCAGGAGGACCTTGCACAATACCTGCAGAGACTCATTGGAAGCCATTCTTCCCCTGACAGTACAGGCTGTGGTGGAGCTCCAGAGAAGTCTGCAGCAGGATTCCTGCTGCCTGTGCTGA